TGCCCAGCTAGACTGTATTTCCCCAGCTTCCCTTGTAGTTGGGTATGGTCATGTGGGTTGTAAGTAGAAGAGTTGTGTGCAATTCTCAATTCTTCCCTAAGGGATGTGCCTTCCCTTTATTCCTTCCTTCTGGCTAGAATTTAGACAGTGATGCCAGAACTACCAACAGTCATCATACACTCCAAGATGCAAGTCATCTAAGATGAAGATAGGTTATCAAAAAGATAGAAGCCTGAGTCACACTAGTTAAGAACTTTATTGTGGACTGTTAATGTGAGAGTTCTAACTTCTCTTAAGTTGGTGTTATATTTGCTTTGAATAGAAACCTACCTGCACCATTTGTAATACACTGCTGGAACCATACTAGGAGTTTATTTAGTTTCAGTCATCTAGAATTTCTAGAATTGCATTAGTAGAAATGAAGACATAATTCTTTTAAAAAAATGTATATTGGTTTGATATGGTTCAAATCCACTTGTTTATGACAAAAATCAAGTCTTTAAGAATAAGATTGCTTGCCCTAGCTGGTTTGGCTCAGTGGGTAGAGCTTTGGCCTGAGGACTGTGAAAGGTCCCAGGTTTGATTCTTTTCAAGGGCACATGCTTGGGTTGTGGGCCCGATCCCCAGTAGGGCGTGTGCAGGAGGCAGCTTATCAATGATTCTCATCTGATGTTTCTCTCTCTCTCTACCTCTCCCTTCCTCTCTGAAATCAATAAAAATCTATTTTAAAAAGTAAAAGAATAAGCCGAGACCGGTTTGGCTCAATGGATAGAGCAGCTTGGAGACTGAAGAGTCCCGGGTTCGGTTCTGGTCAAGGACATGTATCTTTGTTGTGGGCATATCCCCAGTAGGGGGTGTGCAAGAGGCAGCTGATCGATGACTCTCTCTCATCGATGTTTCTAACTCTCTATCTCTCTCCCTTCCTCTCTCTACAAAATCAATAAAATATATTAAAAAAAAAAAAGTAAAAGAATAAGATTGCTTTGTTGTCAAAGCCAAGTAAGGTGTGTCATTTGCTGTCCCTGATGAAGGTTGAGCAATTTAGTTGCTAAGCGACTTCGCTGGATTATCAAATAAAATCCATGGAGAAGCAACTATGCCCACCATGCATTTAGGCTATAAAGACCAAAGGTTGGGAGGGAAAGAGTGTTTCTTGGACAGGAGACAGTGAGGGTGGGAGGCAGGGAAGACTGGGGATTGCCAAGTGCCTGGAAGCACCTGAGAGTCTGGGATATGCAAATCTGCTAGGGGTGGGTCAGGCCTTGTGCTCCTAGAGGTTAGGTCTAGAGGGATGGCAGGGTTGCAGTTCCTGGGGATCCCCTTCCAGCAAAGCTCCTCCTCCACCGCTAACCCCCATAACCTGTCCATTTGTATGAAGAGGTGGGAAGCAGGTACACAGTGCCTGGGTGGGATGCCCCTTGGATGTTTGTATTGGTTTATTTGATTCTTGGTACACGTTGAAGGGGTGGCAGGAGAGTTGTCTGCCAGATATGGTTTCCTTTTGCTTACTTGGCCGAGCTGCCCTGTGTGATGCCTTTTTCCTTTCTTCCCTGCTGCCCTAAGCTAACTCGCATGAGATCACCGGGGATGAAACTGGGCCCTGTTTTATTGAATGGAGTATGTGCTCCACAGGAACCTGCTGATCCAGGGATGGTTGGGTCATTCACTGCAGGGAAAGATCCGATTTAAACGAGCAGCTTAGATAGGCGCTGGCTGAGCCATTTGCAGAGTGTTTATCATCCCTTATGACTGTTTCCTTGGAAACCACAAACTCGGGTAGCATTGAAATCCTGCTTCCCCTAATCTGAAACCCTGATTCTCTAGGCCAGTGACGTAGATGCCCCAGGCAAGTGTGGGATGTCCCTTTTTTACTGATATGATGGCACACAGCCACGTTTTAGGTAGGCTAGGATTTAGGCTCCTACGTGGGACAGTGCAGGGGGCAGGGACATAGCCTGCTGATTTGATTGTTACATGATGGCATTCGGACCAATTTGCACATTACCCTTTTTATTAGATAGGATAGTAGTCTTATTTTAATTATAAACCTTCATGTATAGACTTTCTGTCTGGTATTAATTTTACAAAACTGTTAGTGGTTTAAAAAGATACTGGCAAAAGCTGACAGTTTCTTATAGTTACCTGGTGGGCAGATTTGTACTGTGGTGCAGAGTAGGACTTATCCTTCTAGAAGATGAGGTCTCCACTGTCATTTATTGACCATAGAAGAGGGATAGTATTAGACCACAAAGAAAAATGGTGTTTCTCCTTTGCACAAAATGTAGAACACTCAGACAGTACTACTCAAAGCTGGGGGAGAACACCAGAAAAACACAAGAATGTTATAGCCCAAATATAGTATTGCAAGGCTAGTACTAAAATTAATACTCCAGGCAGGTCAGTCACATCCTATTCAAAGTGAGATCTAAGAAGAAACTTTAGGTCACTGTCTCCCTCCTGGGCACCATCTTTGGAACCAGCTCACACATCCCCATCTTTCCAAGTATGGACTAAAGGCAGTAGTCTTTTCTTGTAATGCTCCCTAATTGGCAGTAATTGACCACAAAACATTATATTCAGTAAAGGCTTTCTCTTAAGCTGCAGCCAGTTAACAAACATCTGGGACTGCTGGCTCCTAACTATTCACCTGCCTGCCTGCCTGATTGCCTTAACCACTTCTGACTGCCAGCTTGATCACCCCTAACTGCTCCCCTGCCAACCTGATTAACACCTAAATGCTCCTCTGCCAGCCCAATCGCCCCCAACTACCCTCCTGCCAACCTGATCACCCTAATTGCCTCTGCCTGCCTGATCACCCCTAACTGCTCTCCTCCTGGCCAATTTGACTCTGATTGGTCAGTTCCTATGCCAGTCAGCATCAATAGCTCTGCCTCCTAGGCAGCCATTGGCTCCTAACAGCTCACCCAGATTTGATCCTGATTGGTCGGTTTCTATGCCATTGTCTCTGGGCCTAATAACGGGGCCTGATCTGAAAGGCAGGGCTGATCAGCATCCTGGTGGAGGCCTGGAGAGAAATGGAGGAATGGCTGCTGGAGAGAAAGGGAGGCAAGTGCTGATCAACTGCCACAGAGGCTACAGATCAGACCCTGTTTCTCTCTTCAGGCCTCTCTCTGGGCCTGATTCACATCAGTGACCGAGTGCTGTGACTGACTTCAGGGCTGACTTCCAGTTGGTTGAGCCTCTGGTCGTGAGGGGACACAGGGTTTTAATATGTTAGGATTAGAATCGCTTCCCATTAGTAATGTGTGTTATAGAGGATAAAGCAGAGAAATCCGTCATGACAGTCCCATCCATTTAACCTCTTTTTCTCCTTATTTTGGGCCACCTGCTTGATCTTTAATCTAGTGAAATTGCCTTATAACTCATCTCCCTGCTTCTGCTTCCTTGACCATTCTTGTTGCATACAGATATGTCCATGCTACTGATCTCAGTTTCCTTATGGCATGGACACCTGATAGTCCAAGCGATATCTGGTTAATCCCACGTGATTTGACGGTTCAAAGAAAAACTAATTTTTCCAAAGCCATCCACATTGTGCATTTACCTGCTATTTATAACATTAAGATCAGATTATGATCACTGTTTGCTATTTATGAGCATTTTAATTAATGTAATGAAAATATTTAGCACAATCTTCATTGAGTTCCTTCCTTCTGTTCTTTCCCTGCCTCTTTTGCTGTCCTACTGACCAAATGCCTGCAGCAGAGCACTCTGATGTTTTTAAAGTGTGATATGGAGAGTCATGTTGTACAAGTGCTCCCTCTTCTTATTTCCCTCACCAAAAGGGGGAAATGTCAGAATACCTGCTGTTGTATTTTTATTTTCTGAGCAGTAAGTAGTAAGCACTTATTTGAACTGCTTTTTATAGCACTCCACCTGCACTATACCTGAATTATCTTACTGTTTAATCTTTACAGTTTTTAAAATGTAAGGTTATTGGGAAAATTTAAAGCTGAGGAAGTAAAGGCACAGAAATGAGGTAATCTGTCCAAGGCTAAGCAAAGTTATAGCGTCCACACTCTTAGTGGTAGCATTTTATTAATTTACTGTCAGCATCAGAACATCTTTTAATTGCTGAAGTAACTGATTTCTGTCTCTTCTGTTTAGTGTGTACAGCACAGCTGAAGATGGTCTGGTTCCCACTTTCTTCCCTGTCACACTTTGGTAGAAAAGCTTTGTGATTAACGGCTATGTATAGAACAGACTCCGGAATCATGCATATTTCAGTTCTAGTTGTGTAATCTTAGGCGAATTAATCGTAGTTCTAGAGTGGCAATAAGTGACACCGGCTTTTAAAAGAGAACATTAAGGGCACAGTGACCAGCATATGCAAGTGTTCAATTTTTTTCTACTAGACCTTGATCATTCCCCGAAAGCAGTAATCAACTAGATCTATTCACATTTGTTTTTTTGGCATGACAAATGTAGTCACTGCCCCTTTGTCTAAAATATATATAAAGTCTACTTGGTTTTCTTCTCACTGACTCTAGGCTTAAAGTTAATTATAAATTATTTGGCCAAAAATATTTTTATTAAATATTTACCAAAACATAAGCATAGGCTTAGTTCTTTGCAAAGCAATTCTTATGAAAAGTTAGTATTTTTTATATTAGGCTGTGTGCATTGATACCATTGTGAACAGTGTTTTCTAGTGTTTTTTCCTTGCCTGTTTTGTTCAGAATCATTATACTATTTTATATTTGCATCACATATGAATAGGTTTATTTTGTTATTTGTCTTAAATCTTTTTTCTTCTAAGAATTGGAATATAATTGTAGCATAAGATTTTTAGAGGGTAATAATTGGGCTGGGACAACAATTAAAGGAATGCTTTAGGACAAATGTCTGAGACATGATACTTAAGCTGGAGCCTAGATGTTCATATTGAGATTTTTCTGGGAATAAAAGCATTGAGTTGGGTATTTCAGACATTAACCCTGTTTTGACAAGACTATTTAGATTTGTGCTTATATTCTTAGGTGACCGGGTTATCGATGTGGGATCTGAATGGAGAACTTTCAGCAATGATAAAGCAACAAAAGATCCATCTCGAGTTGGAGATTCTCAGAATCCTCTTCTGAGTGATCGAGATTTGTCTACCATGATTGGCAAGGTAATACCAAGTGAGGCCTGACCAAAAACCTGGGAGTGGGGAACTTTGCAGAGGCATCAGTCATTGCTTCTAAGCAATCTTATTTTTATATATATATATATATATATATGTTTTATTGATTTTTTATAGAGAGGAAGGGAGAGGAGAGAGATAGAGAGCTAGAAACATCAATGGAAGAGAGACATCGACCAGCTGCCTCTTGCACACCCCACACCAGGGATGTGCCCGTAACCAATGTACATGCCCTTGACCGGAATCGAACCTGGGACCTTCCAGTCCGCAGACCGATGCTCTATCCACTGAGCCAAACCGGTTTTGGCAACTTCTGAGCAATCTTGACCTGAGAATGAGATTTGCCAGTAATACCATTGTGAATGATGGTTGCATTATGCATTGCTTCCATCATAAACGGGAGGCCAACAGATCAAAATCAAGAGTCTTTATATCTCCCGCCCGTGTTTTCATGAAGCACATTTTGCACAAAAATTAAGTTGAACATAGTATGGTCTCTGTGAGAACATACTGATATGTTCCTAGAACATTAGTAATGTCTTTTCCTTTTATACCACCTATAACAAATTGGAATTCAATATAGCCTATTGTCTAGTATTGGAAATACTTACCTGAGCTTTATATTTTTTCATCAATAAAGTGAGAATGAAATACTTCATAGAGCTATTGCAGGTTACATGGGAATATATGAAGTATTTATAACATGTATTATGTGTTCAATTAATGGTAGCTGCTACTATTATATAGGATAGTAGCCTAACTGTCCTGGCCACTTGGCTCTTTTTGGCTCTAGTATCTGAATTGGAAATAGAACTGGCAATATTTCAAAGGACTAATCAAAGAAGTGTATGTATATTTTAACTTATACTACTGCATAGTCTTTTTAATTAATGATAAAGCAGGTCATTAATTATTTTCTTATGCTCTATATATTACATATCAAATTTGAAAGGCATAGTGTATACTGGGTTTAAAAGATTACAGTGTTCAGATGAAACCGGTTTGGCTCAGTGGATAGAGTGTCTGCCTGTGGACTGAAAGGTCCCAGGTTCGGTTCCGGTCAAGAGCATGTACCTTGGTTGCGGGCACATCCTAGTAGGAGGAGGGTGTGTGTGTGCAGGAGACAGCTGATCTATGTTTCTAACTCTGTCCCTCTCCCTTCCTCTCTGTAAAAAGTCAGTAAAATATATTTAAAAAAAATAAAGATTACAGTGTTCAGAAATATCTTTTAAGTAGGTGATTTCTGCGTTTGCTTTAGTCTTATAGGCTGGAAAAAGTATACTAAGAACATTTTCAGATGTAAGATTGCAACTAATTTTCTTTTGTCTTCTAACTGATTGATTACTTCATAAATTTGTACTTCTAATTTTCCTTTTGCCTGATTTTAATATAATTATACTAATATAATTTATATAATTATTATATGATTATAATTACCCATTAGCTAGTTTTTGTAGTACACTGCTTCAATATGGTGGTGGTAAGTGTCTTTGTCTTCTGGCTAATGTTATGCTGCAGATGTTTTCTCTGTTAATCATCTTGTTGGCTTTGGGCCTGGAAGAGTGATTTTCTAATATGAAGAAGTACTCATCTTAAGTGTTTTATCAGATTTTTTTTAAAATGGGTTTTGAGTTTTCTTTACTAGACCTTTTTTTAGTACCTTTAGAGATGATCATTTGAGTTTCTCCTTAGGTCTTTTAATATGATAATTAATATTATTAGATTCTCAGTAGATATTCTTACACTTAAAGTTTTTGCTAGAAAACATACCTAAAACCATTTTACCTGGAGGAATAGAGAGGTTACACGGGGTAGGTTTCTTGAGCATGTGAAGTCAGATTATGAGTTCTGTTTTCTCAGACATTTTTCATTCAGGTTTTCAAAATTTTGCATATAAAGTTATAAAACTTTGTTTTATAGGGTACAGGAGCTGCAAGTTTTGATGAATTTGGTAATTCTAAGTACCAGAATCGGAGAACAATGAGTAGTTCTGATCGGGCCATGATGAATGCGTTCAAGGAAATCACTACCATGGCAGACAGAATCAACCTCCCTAGAAATATAGTCGTAAGTTCCTGTCTGATTCCTTTAAGCCATTCTGGCATTGACTTTGCATAATTTAATGAACACATAAAATTTTGATATTGCAACTAATTAAACGGCCTGGAGTTAATTAAACTTAGTCTCTCTGTTTTGAAGGATCGAACAAATAATTTATTCAAGCAAGTGTATGAACAGAAGAGCCTGAAGGGAAGAGCTAATGATGCCATAGCTTCTGCGTGTCTCTATATTGCCTGCAGACAAGAAGGGGTTCCTCGGACGTTTAAAGGTAAGTTTCCAGTTGCCTAGATAAAAGTCTTATCCATGTCATATTACCAAAGTCAGGCAGCTTTGACTCTAAGTAGTGCTCTGTTGTGTCTTTGTGGTTATATTCGGTAATCCACCTAAATGTAGTTTCCACATGCCTGTTTATTTTGTTCCTTGAGAAGAATTATGTGATTTAATTGACGATGTTTTTCTCATGTAAAGTCATTTTAGTCCATGTGAGTGAGCCCTGTGTTCCTTGGTAATTAGAACTTTTGTAAGTTTTGAGGCCTGTTATTATAAATCAGAGTAGGACTTTGTAGTGAGTCTGTAAATTTTTGATGAATAGAAAACAGTTTTCACATGTAGCCAGGTCTCTAAAAGTGAGGGAGTCAACCCTTAAAAAGCATCAGTGACATTTTTTCTCCTGAGTTATACAGTTTACACTTTCACACTTAAGTTGAAGACTTTGAAAGAACTAATATTTTTTATCAGTTTGCAGTTTACCTATGAATATGTGACCACCTATTCAGTATTGCTGATACTTATACTGACTTTGACTGCCAGAGTTCGTTTTGGCTTAAAACTATAATTACCCTTTATTTATCGATATCTGTGAATGTTTAATTTTTACATTTTTCTTACATCAGTGTTTTTATTACATGTGAAACTAAGGCTTTTGTTAAATTTATTTTGAAAGTGGTAGTTGAATTTTTAGACTAATAGGGTCATATATTTTATCTTGTTTTGCTACAGCCTATAATTGCAGGGATAGCATGTACATAAGACATTGTGTAGCTTGAGAAGCATTCTTTATTTAGCTTGAGTATTTTTTTTATCTCCTTGATATATTCCTTATAGATTTATATATAAATATCAAAGAAGTTTTTGATTGCTTAAGGAATCTCATTTACATAAATCGAACCTTCAGAGACGTTAATATTTTGAAATATTAAGATCTGCATTTAAGCCCTGGCTGGTGTGGCTCAGTAGATAGAGCATTGGTCCTCGCACCTAAGGGTCACAGGTTCAATTCCCAGTGAAGGGCACGAGCCTATCTTGCAGGTTCAATTCCTGGCCCTGGTCAGAGCTTGTATGGGAATGGGAGGCAACCAGTCGATATGTCTCTTTCATATGGATGTTTTTCTTCCCCTCCCTTCCTCCCACTCTCTCTAAAAATCAATGGAAAAACTATCCTTGGGTAGAGATTTAAAAAAAAAAAAAAAATCTGCATTTAACTTTGGGGGAAAAATTTCTTAAAGTTTGACAAACATTTAAATTAATAGAAAATTTAGCTTGAAGGGAAGTATCATGGGAGATGATTAGGGATTTATCTGTAAGGCATGGTTCAATTTTTTTGCTATTAGAATGGATTACTTTTGTAATCTGAAATGATAGATTTTAAAATGAACTATATGACTTATGTAGATGTACTTAACCTAATTTTTTTTTTCTTTTAGAAATATGTGCTGTATCACGAATTTCTAAGAAAGAAATCGGTCGATGTTTTAAACTTATTTTGAAAGCTTTAGAAACCAGTGTGGATTTGATTACAACTGGGGACTTCATGTCCAGATTTTGTTCCAACCTCTGTCTTCCTAAGCAAGTGCAGATGGCAGCTACACATATAGCCCGTAAAGCGGTGGAACTGGACTTGGTGCCTGGAAGGAGCCCAATATCTGTGGCAGCGGCAGCCATTTACATGGCCTCACAGGCATCAGCTGAGAAGAGGACCCAAAAAGGTAAGAGTGATAAAACTGTGGTGGCTGCAGCATGTAATGGTTATTTCCATTTTAGGTATGAATCAGATAAATATCCAGAATCCACTTTAAGAGGTAGTTCCATAGCATCAGAACTTAAGAAAATAGAGTATTTTCCCCTTCTAAGTGGCTCATATATAAAAATGTTTGGAGGTGTAACCCTTTGTGCAGTCTTAATCTTTTTTCTCATTTGAATTGTTTTTAGTTTGTACATTTTTAATATTTAGATGTTTTCACCCCTCCTCCCCCCCTCCAAACACACACACATACATTTTCCTGGTTATTTGGAATAGTTTTCTTTCCCCTCCTCAAGACTTACTTTTTTAAATCTTGAGAGGAGGGCCATGCCTTGTTTCTCATCGCCTGGCAATCAGGCAGTAAGTCTGTGAAGCCTGTTCTCTCTCCTTTTGTACAGTATTACAGTCCCCTAATGAAAACACTTGGCATAAGTAGTTTCCACCTTCTAAAGCCATTTTTTAATATTAGTGAATTTCTTTATAAGCATGAATTCATTCATTCTTTGATCCTCAAAAAGATTCATAAAGAAAAAAGAGCAGTTAAATGTGAAAGTGTGATAGTGAAATTACTTGTTGCAATAATTTTATAATATCCTGTTCACATTGGCTTAGGCCACGTTTCCCTATCATACAAGTATTAATAGTAAATGATATAGAAAATTGATCAGGAATAAGTCACCATTGGTTATTTAAATGTGCGCTGATTGTCTCTGGCTTCCACTCATATTTCTTCCTTTATATATTTTTTAAATTAATTTCAGAGATGAAGGGAGAGGGAGAGAGAGGTAGAAACATCAGTGATGAGAAAGAATCATTGATAGGCTGCCTCCTTCACACCCCACACTGAGGATTGAGTCCGCAACCTGGGCATGTGCCCTGCCCGGGAATGGAACTGTGACCTCCTGGTTCATAGGTCAATGCTCAACCACTGAGCCACGCTGGTCAGGCCACTCATGTTTTTAAGGAAATTTTGAGTCTTCTGGTAGAATTTAAAAGCTGAAGCTGAGCCGAAACTGGCAAGAGGCAGCTGATTGATGATTCGCTGTCATCAATGTTTCTAACTCTCTATCCCTCTCTCTCCCTCTCTGTAAAAAATCAATAAAAACATATTTAAAAAAAAAAAGCTGAAGCTGAGCACAAATGGTCTGTACTGATTCCTAGTTGTAAAGTTTAGTCTAATCAACAACACAAAAATGTTTAAGCATGTTCTTCTACTTTTTACATGAAAGGTTTTGTTGAAAGTTAAGGCCCTTTTCTTCTTGTAAGTTCATATTCACATAGTTGACATTCATTGGAATCTATGTCTAAAACGATGTAATGCATAAGGAAATTCAAAATCAGTTGACTGCACACTGGTGGCAGCCATCACACTGACAATGTAAAACCTCATTTATTTGAGTTTTTATTAAAGGGCATGTTTTAAAAATCCATTTTAATTAAGTATTTATAACTAACAAAATAATTGTGAAGTTCTAGTCCTTTAGGATTTCTTTTAATAAAAAAAGAAAAAAAGTGGTAACTCCTTGAAGTGCAAGGGAACTTTAAATAATAAAGTTAATTTCTTCACAAGAATGCAATCATGGATTACTTCTATGATCCTCAAAAAGATTTATTGTGAAGAAAAAGGAGATGTCAATTCAAATATGAAGGCCAATAAAAGGTTGCCACTTGTTAGGGTTATGCCCTGAGCACTGTTCAGATATTTTTCATGTAGTAAGACTTTTAATACTGATGATAACTCTTTGAGGTAATAGGGTAATACCAGTAATAACTTTAGCCCAGCTTTTGACTTTTAATATATAATTCCATTATTAATTTTTAAAAAACAGTAGCTTTGGTTTTGTTTTTCTCTTCGATATTTTATACAACTGTATCTCACAAATTGAAATTTAGGTAGTAGAAGGTAGGTAGGATGGAAGTTACACTTTTAATATTTTGATTTTTTGTCTTTTAGAAATTGGAGATATTGCTGGTGTTGCTGATGTTACAATCAGACAGTCCTACAGACTGATCTATCCTCGGGCCCCAGATCTGTTTCCTACAGACTTCAAATTTGACACCCCTGTTGACAAACTACCCCAATTATAAATTGAGGCAGCTAATGCAAACTCTTGTGGTCACTGAACTTTGCCTGTTGTACATAACATATATACAGTGCTGGATTGAGCCTTTAATAAGAAAAAAGATATGGTACGCATTCCAGGGCTAAATGTTAATTGCTTGGCATTACGTATGTATATACTAGTAAAACATATTTAATGATTTAAATTTCTTATGAATTTGCTTTCTTTTGTAGCTATTTAGAAACTATTTTGGAAGATATTTGAAATTATGTAAGTCTTGAATAAAATGTTTTTCAAAACTAAAGTTTTCGTTATAATTACATGTTATATTTAATTTATAATTTATAATGTATAAATACAAATAACGCATATTATTGCAGCTAATAAAGCTGATAGAAGTCCTTGTTTTCTGTTTATAAGAATATATATTGTTTTGTGTTATATATATTTTTTAATTTTAATAAAATCATGGAACTAGTAACAGCCGTTGGCAACAAGAACATATTTAGTTTGCAGTTTTAAGGGTTTGTGTGACTTATAATTTATATAGGGTGTTCCAGAAAAATGTATATACACTATAACAGCTGATGGCTCAACTTTGAAAATAAGGTATATTTTCATAAAGTGCCTTTATAATTATCAAAAGTGTGTGTATACATTTTTGGGGGACACCCTATATATGTATTAAAGAGCAAGAAGTGCCCTGGCCCCTGTTGCTCAGTGATTAAGGCATCGGTCTGTGCACCAAAGGATTGTGGGTTTGATCCCTGGCCCTGGTCACTCTCACATAGGTGTTCCTCTTTCTCTCTCTTTCCTCCCCTCCCTTCCACTCTTCTAATAATGGGGAAAAATATCTTCGGGTGAGGATTTAAAAAAAAAACAACTAAGAATTGATGAATTGGACACTGAAAGGCACTGCCTTGATAAAAAAAAAAAAATGCGTTTTTCCTCACTGAGATTGAGCAGAGAAGATGCTGGTAAATAGAGCAACAGATTTCAATGTTCAGATCTTAATGTTTCATTTTATAAAATCTGCATATCCATAATTCTTTGTTACTTTTACTGATTGGGATACTCATAGGGTAAAGAATATTTTAAATGGAGATTATTTAGCCTGAAAATGTCCAGGAACTCTTTTAATAACCACCCTTCCCTCAGGTGATTGTGAGGTGTAGGTGTTTGGCCTGTCACTTTGAGGAACACTGATTTAAGGTCACTTGACTGCTAGGCAACATAAGTGAGGACCAACAAAATAACGCCTTTTCTCCAGCTAAGTCAGAGTCGCCCCCACACTGTGCTCAGTGGAGGGTAAAGAGCAGAAGCAGGGCCAGCACTGGAGAATCCAGCTCCCTCCTGCCATGTGACGGAGTCTGGTGGCAGCTGAAACTGGTCAGTGCCCTCAGGGCTGCAGCACAGAGGCACCAGCACACAAAAGAAACCAGGCAACAGTGTGGCAGGCTCATGGACCCAGCTCCTTTCCACCCACATTCCCCCACTACGGTGGTAGTTCCTCAAGGTGCAAATAACAGGGATGCAGCAGGAACACCCACCACTCCAACATCCAGATAATGACTCCAAGGCTCACTGAGATACTCCCTACCATGACCTCTGAGGCACAAGTAGTGCTGGTAAGAAAAAATAGTGCCATGTACTGGAAAAAATGAAAGACGTATTAACCTGAATTATCAAAATCAAACTAGTATTTAAAAAGTGTTCACTATCTCAAATGTGCAGATAGAACATAACATCAACCAACTTGAACAAGCAAGCTTGTTTTCTCCAGAAACCAAACCAAACCAAACAACTCAGAGTCAGGGAATACTGTGATCTAAATGATAGAAAATTCAAAATAGCCATGAAGAAACAATAAGATATAAGAAAACGCAGAAATGCAGTTGAATGTGTTCAGGAATATTAATGGGCAGCAGGAGTACTTCACCAAAGATATTTAAACTATAAAGAAAACCAACTCTGGAGCTTAAGAAAAATGAAATGGAAAACGAATCAGAACGCACTGAAATAGAACAGAACACATGGAGAATTGGCAGGCTCAAAAACAGAGTGTAGAAATAATTCAGGTGGAAGACAGGAAAAAAATAGGTGCTAGCTTTACTGTCGTACCTCAAACTGCAGAAGTTATGGCCACAGAGCATAAGTGGTTAAAATGGAAAAGGCTTTAAATTTGTGGATGGGCAACATGAATAAATAGTTCTGATTGACAACATTGAACCTATATGCAGACTTCAGCAAGGAATCCCCTGAAACAAACAGCACCATTTACTGCAAGAAAGGAAGGTATTTTGGGAGAGACCTCATTGATATAACTTATTACAGTGGTATCCTATCTAATAGAGCAAATATGCTAATTGACCATCATACCCTCACAAAGATGGTGCCGATAGCCAATGAGGAGGGAATATGCCAATTGACTGCCACACCCTCAAAGATGGCAGCACCCAGTTCCATCAGCTCCCCAGCCACCCAGGGCTGGCCAAGGAGCAGGGCAAGCCTCGGATGGTGGCTGCCCAGCCACCCGAGGCTCAGGTAACCAAGGTCGGCTGAGGCTTTGTGCTGCCAGCAGTGGCAGCAGCAGAGGTGTGTGAGGGTGTCACCTCCTGATTGTCCAGTTGCCTCCCACTCCTGAGGGTTCCCAGACTGTGAGAAGGGGCAGGCTGGGCTGAGGGGCCTCTAGTATTGTTACAATTGTTCTATTTTATGCTTATGGCTATTAATCTCATACTGTGCCTAATTTATAAATTAAGCTTTATCATAGGTTTTATAAATTAAATTTTATCACAGAAAAAAACAGTATATGTAAGATTTGGTATTATCTCGGGTTTTAGGCATCCACTAGCATTCTTGGAATACATCTCTCACGAATGGGTGGAGAACTACTGTACTTACAATATAATACATTCTAAACTTACCATTTACTCATGACTTCTCATCTCTTGAGGTGTGAAAAACTCTTCATACATAGGTGGACACCCACCACTTTCATAGCCAGCTTCTGTCTGGGCCTACATTTTAGCAAGTTAGGAATAGTAGTGGCCATGACAAAGTGGATTCCTCCTGTGCATGCTAACATTTTTAAAGTAGTTGAAATCTTAGTTAATATGGCCCCTTCCATCTGGATATTTAAAACAGAGTCACCCAAAACTGTGCACCTATGGATGAGGACCATGGGGGGTGGGGAAAGGGCAGAGGGTGGGGTGGGAACCTGGTGGAGGGAGCAATGAAGGGGGGAAAACAGAGGACATTTGTAATATGAACAATAAAGATTTATTTAATAAAAAAAAAGTCACTGGAAGCTACTTTCACTGACAGTTACACTGTTCAAGGATTTGATTGATGGATTCTAAGGTTGGGCCCTCTGGTCCAATACCCCCATTTTGTAGGTCAGAGACATCTAAAGAAAGCAAAAGTTCTGTCCAACTTCACCTAATAGCAAGAGGTGAGACAGGTCTCTCAATCACTCAATCCAATCAGTGCTCTATCTACTAAACCTACTGTTAAGAGGAGGCTGCCTCAAGATGAACTTTAGTTGTAGCTCCCAAACAAAATTCTGTTCCATTACTAGATTAACAGAATTATTTAATGCAACACGTTTTTTATCTGGATTCTTGAGGAAAGCACTTCAGAGTTGTTTTTAAAATGTTTAAAATCAGTCCAGGTGTCAAGGAGTTAATAGCTATAAGTTGTTCTTTACTTCTTCCAAAATAAATGCTTCTTAAACAAGATGCCTCTTGATAGTAAGCTTTGTGTTCAAAGCAACCCATGTGCTTTACCCATGGTTGTCTTTGGTTTCTGAGCTAATTTTGTATCGCAGGTGCAAGATTTACTCTAATTATCAAGATGAACAGCTGAGGGGGTCAGCTTATTACCCATCTGGTCCTAATCCAGCCCAGAGGCCTCTGTGCCCATGCCAATATTTCCAATTGTCAATGGCCCTGACTTTTCCTGTTGCTGGAGTTTTAATCTCATCTGCCACTCGTGGAGCTCCTGAAAGGTCCCTTCCACTCTCTCCCGGATATTTACACATGCATAGTCCTTTCACCAGGATCTCAAGATAACAAGGTGTCACAGCAAACACATCATTCTGCGGATCGTCAGCCCCCGAGGCCACACATCTCTCACAAACAAACTTCCATTCAAAGCCTTTGCTGGCATTTCTTGTCCAGGGGGACTTTTCACTGCCATTCTAGGATGCTCAAACTTGCACTTGGTGAAAAAGGAGGGGAAATGTGAGCATAAAGCTTTTCTTTTCCTCTGCTGAATATCAGAACAATTCTCATGCTTTCATCTGCAGCAGCCTATGAAAGGATGTTTGAGAGCTCTGAGAAAGAAGGAAAGCCACTGGTATGCCAAGTACATAGCCATAGCAAGAACAAACTAGAAGTGAAGCCCTGATAAATTTGAGATTCTGCCAAAGGACAGTTTGCTTTAAACTGACATAAGTGACAAAGTAAAAAACAAAACAAAACAAAACAAAAAAACATAAAAGAATTGAGTCTACAGCTCTTAGAGATGCTGGAAAGGCTAGCGTGTTCTTTACTATTCCAAAAGGCAGGTTTATGATGTAAAAGTCATACAGAGCTTCTGGATGAACACATCACATTGAATACGTCATGGAAGGTGTTTTATTAGACTTGCTGGATTGCCAGATTTCTCTGGAATGACCTTAACCATGTCTGTGATTCCTTCCTCTCTGTGGCTGTGAGACATTAGACAAGTTAATGATGGACCAAGAGTTTTCAATCTCCTACGTTGCTGTGGCCCAACAAATATCAGCTGTGTAAATGACTTCTGTTTGTTCAGCTGAGGGGTGGTCTGCTCTCCAGTACACATCAGGGGTCCAGATTTTGGCCCTGATAACACATTTTAACTGTGCTTGAGTCTACTGCTGTTTTTTTCTATCTGCATATTAGAGATGATGGATATTCTAGGACCACTCAGTCTCTTGAAGGCCTTCCAAGCAGCATGGACATCAAACAGTGTAGACCAGGGTGTTCTATAGACCTCAGA